TACAACCTATCGTGACTTTATTTTTCTTCACCTGTCTACGGTAAATCAAGTAAACGCGTCAATTCAATGCCATTGAGTATATCCGATATGAATGATAATTTCCTTTTACACGGCGACACAAATTACGTATTGAAATTGTGCGGCACGAAGTTTAAACTCTTCGGGCAAACGCTACAGTCACAGCTAATGTTGGAAACATAAATAGAAAAAAGTTCTTAACAATCGTCATTTTCTATTATTTCATGCTTTATCCTTGCAACGTGCGCCTGTGCACTCACGCCAATCAAGTTTCTTATGAATATTTCAATATAACATCGATCTACCGAAGCTAAGCAGATATTCCAAGTATTCGCTCTTTTATAGCAATAACGACGCCGCTGTTCCCGATGTATTGCATAATCGCGATATAATTCCATGCAGTTTTATGCGTAAGATAATCTTCTATCACCCTTTCATCAAACGTTCAATAAATTAAAGCAATGCGTCCACTTTCTTTTTTATCGCATTACTTCTTACATTTATAACTTACTAAATTATTATATCCATACAGTATATTTCCTATATTATAATTTTATTCTATTTACACACGACAAACCAACATTTTTCATTCATATCATGGATTTGATGTTTGAACGTTCTATATATGAATATTTAATACGGATCAACTCTATGTGAATTATCCATCGATTATACTTCTATCCATTTTCCCCGCTTTCGTTCTCGTCGTATAATACTTAGTACATTCATTTGTCACTCACTATGTTCTCATTATGTTGTAAAAAATATTCATGGATCTTTAGATCATTCCCTATGTATAATTATAGTTTTTAATCAACTGTGAGTTTTATGTCGGTGTTGTCTCGCTCGTAATGACATTCCGACAGCGATGATAGACGACCATCTCGCCCTTGTACACTCACGTACATATGTATTATCGCGAAGACAGCTGCTCGCTTGCTTCCTTCGTGTAAAAGTTCGAAATTTGCATGGAGTTTGACCGACTGCTTCCTTCAGTAATCTCAACCGTTAACGATTGGTCAAGATAGTGTGACTATCGAAATTTCGTAAGAAAATATTTATACCTTTTGAGTATAAAATTATCTTCTTCGAAAAAAAATATTAATATCGCACTAAGCATTTCGTACTATTGTACGAAAAAAAAATTTAAATCATGATTAAATTAGAATAATTAATCAGAATTAAAAAATTAAAAAAAATTTTCTTGCTTGGCTCATAGTCCTTTATCTTGTCTTTTTAACTTTTAAAAAGATTTATTTGAAATGCGGTTGTTAAAATGGTTTATTGTGAAACTATAATATACGAGTATGTTAACTAAAATAATAAAAATAAAAAGAATGCGTTCGATTTATAATTTAACACTAAAGTGATTTTAAAAAATTAAAGAATGATACAATCTTGAATTAATCTAAGTCAACTTTGTGTTCAATTTTGATAAGTAGAATAATTGTAATTAAAACGTGATTAACATTTTATGTCTAACACTTAAAATTTAATTAGTTATGATAATGACAAATTAGGTTATAATGATGAATAATATTTAGAATAATTCATAATATATATATATAATGTTTACAGCCACACTTTATGACAGTAATGATATAGCCTTTAGTATAAATGTAGGGATAAATCTTGATCTCGGCACTTGGTTTACTACCAAGAAAAGTTGAATTTTCTCCACGGTACGTGACTCGATAGTAGAACAAGATCAAAGGATTTTGTAGAAGCGAGAGATAAATTTCAGTAGTTCGTTGCTACAGCATTGCAGTATTCGCGCAATTTGTTTTTCTCGTGTGTAATTAGTAACTAAAATGTTCAGCCAATTGAACCACCTGTTTGTTTGCTTGAAATAAAGTAGACACTCCCTTACACTTACTCTCTTGCAACTTTTTACAATTCATACATTTAATTTTAGATTAAAGATCAATAAATCGTATGCACAATGTATACATGATTAGAATGTATTAAATCAAAATATGTCAATAATTAAAAATTTTTATCATTTTTGTTTTATATATTTCTAATTTTTAATTTCAAAATGTTTAAACATATTATATTAAAATTAAATGGATATAAAAATGATGCTATAGCGAAATTTATTAGAACACCTTTCCTTTTATTTAGATATTCTACTATTTTTTAAGACATATACGTCACTTTTATTGTAACATTTTATGTAAGTAGTAGAAACGACAGTCTTGCTTTGAGTTCAATAACTAATATAAACTCACGGTCACGTACCTCTTCCTAACTATAGATCAAATAAAATAGTAAGACATTTACCTCGTTAACTAATTATACCTAAAGCGATCAGGTACGCGTTTAAAGAAAAAGTTTAAGCAGAAAAAACTTAATCTCATTTCCCAGTCGAAGAATTGATCCTAGAATACTGAAATACTGATATCGATTTGTAAGACGTATTATTGGAAAATTATTCGAAAACATATGCCATAAACTTTAACTATCGAATCAAATGGTTTAGTGAATATTTTTTACATATTTAAAAAAAATATTTTTAAAATTCAAGTACTGTAAAAATAACATTCCAGCAAAATTCCTTAAAAAATTATTTTTATAAAAATATCATATATTTGAAAATTATACCGTCGAATTTAAAGCATCGTCAAAGTGTTATTAATATCAATTTGAGAATATAGCGGTTAGTATTTTAAGATATGAGGAGATTTTATTCATCAGAAGATTGTAGAAAATCTTCTTGGCAGTGCAGCCAATATATTCTAAAAATATTCAAGAAATACGAGTCAATACAAATTGTATTCTTCTACCTTCGTCATTATCAAGTAAAATATTGAATATTAAATTGAATCGAAACTAATCTCTTGTTTTCACGCATTTTACCTTGCACATACATATATCGCTACCGTGACAAAGCAGTCTACTTTAAATCAATCGAGAGACTCGCTATTAAAGCTCGTGCCGTTTCTACGACGAGACAGTTCTCCCACGAAGAGGCAAACGTTAGTTGACGCGCGTGTTACCCGTGCCACTTTTAATCTGACGTTGTGCGTTACCACTTTGCGGTTAATTGGAACTTTTTATTTTTATAAATTTAATTTTTTAAAAAAGTGAAAACATCGTTAAGCACACTTGATGACTTTAAATCAAAATAATTTTATGAACAGTTAAACATTAAATATATATTAAATATTAAAATACTATATCAATGGATATAATAATCGCAAGAAAATGATAATACAAACTTTATTATGTCATTATTTAGAACGTGTCGAACTAGAAGATTATATAAAAGGAATTTATGTGTGCGTGACTACCTTGTGCAATAAAATTATCGTCCTCTTCGATGATCTTGGTTTAACTAAAGAACTTCTCGATTTTATCAAAACTACCGAGTTGTACAAGATATACGCATAGAGCAATAAATCACTGTTTTAAATCAAAAGACGAATTGCGACGTGTTCTCAGATAATCAACAGTTTTACGCTTTAAATCGTTCAGCGTTTTCCGATTTTCATAATGTTTCTCTCGCGCGCCATAGTGAAATTTATTGAAGTGAAAAAATTAATACGATGATATTAAATGATCCGTAATGTGTACATTCGTTCAATTTTTAGATAAATTACATATTTATTTATTTATTTTTATTCTCTCTATATCAGTTATATACTAAACTTTTCAATTCATTATTAAAAAATGATTCTCTTAAGTCTACTTTAGACTTTTTCTTTAATGCTTCTTTAGACAGTAATTCATATTTTGTGATAAAATTCTACATTTATCATATATTTTAGAATAATAAGAAAAAAGTCAGAACATACACATGTGCAAAATACGTACCCAAAGAATACTTTTAACTATTTAAGAATATTAAAACATATGTTATATAAAATTATGAAGAGAATTCTGTATTAAACTTTAATGCGAGTTATCGTTCAAATTATCATGAAGATCGTCCAAAGTGGATTTAAGATAGCCTTGGCTGCACTCCAGGCATGGAATGACTCGGATATCTCGGAAAGACCACAACCTGTACTCACATACGTGAATCCCTGAGGAGGTAATTTTCAAAATGCAAATTTTAAATTAAAAGTTAAACTAAAAATACTTTAAATTAGATGGGTATATATATATATAATGAATGAGATATAACATATAAATTTCAAAATTGCATTCAAAATGCAAATTTTTAACTAAAAGTTAAACTAAAAATACTTTAAATTAGATGGGTACATGTATAATGAATGAGATATAACATATAGTGAATTCTAATCTTTTGTTTCTTTTTTTCTTAATTAAACTTCTTCGTATTATTTTTTTTCTTTTTATATTATTTTTTTCAAATTTTTTTTAGCAATTTTAACTTTCCTTAATCGATCCTTCCTATTTGATCCTTTTTATTCAATGTTTTACTTTTATTTTTCTTTTTCTCTCTCTCTAGATAGATGTTTCATATTTTAATTTTTCAATCTTTTATGTGTATAATTTTCTTTCTTATTTTTTTATTTTCTAATTATTTTTCTTCAATACATCTTATTTTTAATTTGTCTTTTGATCTCCTTTTTCTTTTTTCTAATATTCTTTTTAGAATCAAATTAAAAATTAAAAACTAATAATAACAAAATTTCTTTCATTTTGAAGCATTTTTTAAATTAATTTAAGCCACGCAATAATAATTGTGTGTGCTCATCTTTATATAATTAAATACTCTTAATATAAAAATTTAATATTCCACATGCTGTATAATATTATTTTTACAGTAATGCTGAACAGATATTATTGTAAATTTCACAAAAGTACCTTAAAATGTTACTTATTAAAATGTTAAAACTTAAACTTATTTTCATTTAAAGAAATTTTTTTATATATATACATATAATGCGTAGATTTTACTTATTCTCAGTATTTTGGGGTCAAGCGTCGATTATCCTTCGAGAAGTTCGACCGAATCGCGCGGTAAAAGATCGTTACTATTCTTCTTGTTCGACCTAGATCAACTACGTGAGTGCTTTAGAATTACACGGCAGCAGGAAGTCGGTAAAAGTTAAGTGCACCGACCATTCGCTGCCGGGGTTCACTGTCAGTGCCATCGTCGCACGAGCAGTTTAAATCCCGATCCCAATGTCGTCCGACGTTACACTACGTCGGTTTCTTCTGTGTTCGAGCGCGACATCATACGCCCAAGTTGGCGTTTGTAACGTGTCAAGATCGTTACACTCGTAGTATATTTCGCCATGAGTTAAACGAATCAGCGTGTCCAGAAATCGTATGAAAAAAAGGAAAAGGAAAGGAAAAAGAGAAAACTCTTGTCGGAGAAATCACAAAGTCTAATATGAAATCGTTTAACGAAATTTAGGAAAGGATTTAAAAAACGCTAAAACATCCCTCGTATCCTCTTGTGATTGTCGCACACCGCCACCACCACCACTGCCTCTCTTCCACGCGCATTCTCGAGCACTCGTCGAATCGACCAAGCGTATCGAATGGTCGAGTAGAAGTAAGAAAAAGCCGAGAAAAAAATAACACACATACACACCACGAGAAATACGCCGACAGCGACCTGAGATCGTGTACCGAAGTCAGTCATGAATCTTATGTTCCGCAAGAACTTCGGCGAGAAGGGACTCGGTGGTGGCGGACTAGGTGGAGGAGGACTAGGGGAAGTTCGGCCTGCTCTGAGCACCACCACTACTTACGGGACCAGCGGGGCCTCATTCGGCCAGATAGGGACGCGTTTTGGCGCTACGCGCGGTGGTATCGGCCAGTCAGTGGTCAGTGGCGTGCGTGGACCCGTACGACGCAGCCGGGAATTCGGATACTTTCCGTTAATGGGCGATCACGAGCACCAGGGACATGGCTACCGTACTCACTTATTCCTATCACCACCTGCAGGTGGGGCACTTGGTTCACCGCCCGAAGAATCGGGCGAGCGACTGGGTCCACCGCCACGCCGCAACTCGGGCTCCCATGTGATTAAATGGGGTGGCGGTGGGCCTGTCAGTTCCACGCAAAGCGGCCAGACTGGCAATCAGATCAGAAGGAAGCAAAATCAGATCGGTCAGCAGAAAGAGCCTTCCGACCCACCAAGTCCGACTGCGTCCAGACAGGTCAGTACATTTAAAATCCATGAGAAACTAACAAGAAGAGATTAAGAAAATAACTTGGATCTTTTCTAAGAGCAAGAGCAGACGACAGATAGATAAAGTGTAACTGTTGTGTAGTTTATAGAAAACAATTCAAAATGATAACATTGTATCGTATGGGGACAAAATGTATTAAATTTTAACAAATATTTATTTGAATAATACAAATTGAATATTCATTTACAATTTACTTAATAAAAAATAATATTTAAATTAATGGTTCTTGTACTAAATATAAATATGTCTTTATATTTAGTAAATATTTAGTTAGCACTATTCAAATAAATGTTTTATTAAAATTTAATACATTTTCTGTATATCCATACATATATTATCAAGGATTTTCTATAAACCACGCAACAATTAATCGACAGTTTTTCTATCATGTGGTTTTGGCCTAACGTTTAACAACGTTTCTAATAAAGTTAAGATTTCTTAATTTAAAATTATTTAAATTTTCCTTTAAATGCGTATTATTTCCGAGCATTTATGCTATTTTTGTAAGCTGCATAGAATATTCCAAAAAAGATAAAAAACAGAGGACTATTTCAATTTATTTATCTATATTAATCTAAAGAAAAACTTGTTAAATAACAATAAATTCATACTGTGGCGTACGATATAAAATAGCACGCCAATAAACTATCAAGGGTATTTATCTCATAATGTGAGTCACGCACGGAAAACTGTTGTAACATGTATATACCCTGTATTTAAGTCTAATTACAGTCATTTGCTCTACACAATCGACCAAACCTGTATGAAAACTGAATTATTAATCTACAATTGCTATGTCGCTCTTTAGGACGTTAGAATTATTCTATTTAACAAGAATGTTGGCGGGTTGTCTCTCGCTGTTCGTTCAATATATCTTGTTACTCGCAAACTGTCATCTACATAAGCGCAAGAAACTTTAACATTTATACATATAGAAAAACAGATCAATTTACCGCCTAATTTATAAGATTATTCAATAACGGTTTTACCTTGTAATTTATACATCATTTTTAAAATAGAAGATAATTCTTTTTTCATATTAAGCGTGCGTGTCAATAATTTTGTGGTTTATTATAGATGTAATTGAATTCAACGCTTAAGTATACGTTTTCTATCATAGGACAAAATTAGTTATATTTCCTAAGAATAAAAGAATTAACTAAGAAATTAAAAGGATATTAATATAATAAATCTCGGGGGGGAAGAGGGAGGAAGACTTCTCGGCAGACTAATTGCTTTCTATTGTCAACGTTATTGAACCAAGTATTATATCGCCATTTCTTATAATAGGCCACAAGATAGCGAAACATTTTGCAATAAAGCAAAATTACAGAGAAAATAAGAGACCGTTTATAGAAGGGAAGACATAAAGTAGCACCTACACGCGCGCTCAAACGGCACGCAAAGTCGTTATCTTATTGCAAGTCTTGCAGACATATAATCTGCAGTGACTCCGAGAACATGCCACAAATTCCTCGCGGCAAATGTTCGTTAATTGTTTACTATCAACCCGTCCAAAACCCGTATCACATTCCATCATCATGTTTTCGTGAACGTTCAGTGCACCGTCTCTACACACAAGAAAAGACATAAGGTCTGTTCTTTTTGACTGAACTTTTGCACAAGTTCATCTTTCTTTTCTCTCCAGGAGAAGAAAAAAAGGAAAACAGATGAACTGGTGCAAAAGTTCAACCGAAAAGAACAGGCCTTATATTTTCGAGCCATAAACACTTTACAATGTAATGTATCTCATCGCTTGGTGCGATTAGGAATTCAGGGTATATTGTTTTATCCTTGTTGTTCATCAAAAATTAAACAAGAATAAAATGATTCATAGATGCAATGAAATTTCTGAACGCAGGGCAGAATTTTACTCTTTTAGTAAAGTAAAATTTAGTAGGAGACTGAAAAGAATAATATTTCATGTTTTTTTTACGTAATAATGTTCTTGATTATGAAATTGAGAAATAATAATGTCACAAACTCGTTAAATTATTATTGTTATAATAATTCTAAACGCGCGCTTGGCTTAGCGCCGAGACACTACCGTGTCTCCAGATAAAACATGTAATCAATTTTAATAAAAATATTTGTTTAAATAGTACTAAACTAAATTTCATTAAATGTAAATAAATATCTATTTGGTACAACATTAATTTAACTTTAATTTTTTTAGTAAATATTTATTTACTGTAAATAAGTGTGTAGTTAGTATTAAAAAAATATTTTAAAATTTTAATAAATTTTTTCTCAGTGTAGTAACATAAATCAAGCAATGCTACACTGTCTGTCACATTTATCTTAGTGCTATAATTATCGCAATTAAACTTAGAAATGCAGTATTGATCAAAAATATTGAAAGAATACGGTAGAAATTCGTTATAAATCTCTTGCTAAACTTCTCGCGTGATCGAAAAGAACGTGCTGAACGTGCGAGATATAAGTGCGGAAATTCACGATTGAAGTATCGCTGCAGCTTTCACGATCTGACAAAGACCGCAGTGTCGTGCAGTAACCTGTGACCTTTACGATGCGCACCGTGGACATTTACCATCATGTGTACTAAACGCAATGTGATTAAATATCCAAACACGCATGTTGACACACTTTTTCTATGTATTGATTGAACTTGTGACTGCAGCAAATGCATTCCAATGCAGAAAACACTATCAGCGCACATTACGTACTGCAACATGTAATGCAGAAAATCTGCACTTTAAAGGTACATACAAAACGAGCATGATTTGTTAATTAATTTTTTATTTTCTATTTATTTAAAATTAATATATGTAATATATAACAAATATTTATCATTTAATAGTTTACTGTAGGTTTGCACGCGCATAAAGACAAAATAAAAATTGAAAGAAATGTCAAATGATTTTCTCTATATAAAAAACAAAATAAATTATACATTGTGGACATGTTTAATAAATAGAGAATCTAATTAATATCTAATTAAAATTGTAAAGCTCAATTAGAAAAATTTCATTAAAAATGTCATAGCATAAATTTAATTTACAATTAACGAACTAGAGTATATTTGTAATATCAGTTTTAAAAAATTTCTTTTTTTATATCTTTTTCAAATTTTTTATATCAAATTTTCCTTATATTATATAAAAAAATCCATCTTAAGAAGTATATTATTTTCGGAAAAAATACTATGAAAAGTTTGTGCCAAATATTTTCAATGACACATTGGTAAATTAGCAGTCTGATTAATCGGGCATTATACATATATGCTGTTTGTTTATGCTGTATACATCTTGAGTATATTGAGGATTGAAAAAGTACAGCAAACATTTCCCAATGGAACTATTATTGTGAAATAGTCGGCATTCGATGCCTTAATTAATGTTATATATATATATTATATATATATATACATATATATACACATGCTCAATGTGTGTGACATGACATTCGGAATTTAACAGCTGTTTGGCATAAGCTAATATAGAGTGAACCACAATGGAATGCAATGCATGAGTCGACAGCTTGTTCATAGATGATTAAACTCTTTGGTTGTGCTATTTTAATTTGATTATCGAAGTAAAGTTATATGTAAGTTATATACAAACGTCGGTGCGTATCGTGCGTGCAATCGCAATGCAAGTAGAAGTTTTGCCATAGTTACTACAACGTTATGCGACATACTATTTTTATACACTAAACAGCATGCAAATTGTTATTGATCGTGGAAGTTTTTCGCCGCATGTGTACATTTCGCACAATATTAACGATGTGCACACATGTATTTCCTATGCATGCACTGTTACAATGTACAATATTAAATTCATAGTGTGCACATCTCTGTATACAGGAAGACACGAAGGGTATTCTTGTAATAATTTATAGCGAAAACATGACTGTACGATAAAAATTTTAATAATAAAGTTGATTAGAATATATTACAATAAAAACTGAAGTTTTATTTTGTATAATATAAAAAGAAATAAAAACGATAAATTTATTATTCTTCTAAAATATATTTTCTCAATGCATTCCTTCTACTCAGTCTCATGGTTACCGGTCGTGGGATGAAAAATTACGAAGCAATGTAATCAATCGCTAACGTCGAGTGCATTTGCAAAGTTGACATGCAACGTAAATCGCATTGCACAAACTTCAAACGTGAGCTGTAAGTTGTCAGATCTACGAGACTTTACGTGAAACGACGGGAAAAACGGTGACCAAGCCGAAACTACGACGATAACTGAGCTTTGACGCAAGTAGTAAAAGACAGTCGAGTCAGACTCGAACGCTTACGTGCAAACATCGGCAGCGACGTTCTGCCTACATCCACGGCCTATTTTCATTTTATTTGGACACGTGTTACCTTGACATCTTTACTATTACTGCTATAAACGTATTTGCAAGATATGTCTATGCTCGTGAATTTACCGCACATGTTGCATACATTGGGATACCTCTTGGCGCTTTTATCTTTAATCCTACAAAGATGATATCTACAATCTCATAAGCCAACATTGATTCTTTTAAGCGCAGTAAAATGTTTTAACTTTATAAGATAATTAGAAAATATAATGTAGAATTTATTTCGTATCCGTAAATGTAAAAAAAATCTTTTTCTCATTAAAAAAATTTATAGCAACATCGTCAATCTGAGATCACATCAAGATGAGTTTTTATTTTATGCATATTTCGAATAATGTTTCATATACTCATTTCTAGTAAAATCTGACTATCAGTAATGAAATTACTGATATTCGTATTAGACTTTACAACAACCTTATGTATTAGACTTTACAGTAAGAGATATTAAATGTGTGCGAGACTAATTCTGTTTCTCATGATATGTAGACGATAGTAGACGTTATCTAGTATAATTTTTATATTTAGTATACATACATATTTAGTATAATTTTTAAATTATGTTATCGTTTTGCAGGTATCCTTCAGCGGAAATCGTACTTCCGGTACCTACACACCTCTCGTAGTTTCTGGAAACAGCCCGCCACGAGGCGAACCAATCTCTTTGGCCACTTTGGACCGTGACTGCTTTATTATACCTCTCGCTTCTCTCGAACGTTTTTTACCAGCTGGTGTACCAGTAAGTTGATAAAATATATATATATATATGTTTTTTTAAGAAAAACATATAACTATAGAATTAGTGGAAAGTAAAAACGCGCAACATTATCTTTCCTTTTCAAACAACAAATATATCAAATGAATAATGAGATGCTCACCTTACAGTTGCTCCTTTCGTTGCTTGATGCCTTCTTGGCCTCTTCTTCCTCTCTTATTTCCCCGTTATTGTTTTTTTCTGGTATACACAATATCTATACATGCAGAATATACTAATTATTATATTATATACATAATAATATAATCACGCATGTAAACATTAAGAGCTAGAATACAATGATAACATTGCACTTTGTACGGCACTTGGTCCCGCGCGACATTAATCGCACGCGACGCACACTTCATATTCCCAAAGGACACGATTATAAATCGCTTATTTGCTAGAACAACACAACTTAAAAAACAAAGTTTAATTCTTAGAAAACAAATTTCAATTTTTAAATCATTAAAATTTTATAATATTAATTTTGGAATACAATTTTGGTAATAACTGTAAAAGAATAAAAGTACGTGTTCTTTATTTTTTCTTTAAGTTTCCATTCTTTTTCTACATGCAAGGAATTAAAAAAATAACAATTTTTGCTGTAGCAAAGGAGCGATATTTTAATTCGCATATCGTGAAAGGAATTAGTAAAATTTAAAAATTTGCTAATTAAAATTTCAAAGTATTGTAATATTCAAATTTTAAATCATTGTAAAGCAATGTTACTTAATGTTTTCATTAAGAGTAGATTAATTTGAAGTATCACAGAAAGTATCAAGAAAATACAGAGCAATTTATATAAATCAAATAAATAAAAAATCATTCTTTTTCTCAAGCAGTTTTTAAATTTTATAAAATTGGTGTACCATACAGTAAAATATAATTTAATGCTGCTTGTCAAATTGGAAAATATTAAAATGAAAATATTTAGTACAATTGATAAATGTGTAATTAAAAATTCTGAGCAAGCATAACATTTGCTGAAATTAGAATGGTCAAGCTATTGGCCTTAGACTCTTGCGAGATGCGACCTTCCTTACGAATATCTAAAAATAGATAAAATGTGTCTACTAGAGATACTAGAGATGTCTAAAATAAAGCGTAGTAAATCACGATTCTGAAAAATGATATTTAATAAAACAGTAATTACATAATTATATCTTAATACTTGTAAAAGAGACAAAATTTATATAAAAAATTCGGCGTGCAATTTAGGGGGACTACGTATATTAGTTAATTATTAATTTAATTTAATATTCGTGATAGTACCGCGGTAGTTTATATGTAAGCGATTAAAAGATCCAAGCTAGACTGTTATAGGCTTCGTATTTGTATTAGTTATGTTCTTATACATTAACGGTCTTTAATATTGAATATTATATAAAAAAGCTGTTAAAAATATTTTTGCTTTTTTACTCGCTCGGATAATAATTACGATTCACTTCAAATAATAATTACGACAAATCAAATTACAAAAAAAATTAATAGAGTACATAAATTATAAATTACGCGTAATTGATAAAATCTGTGTACTCTACTCCACTTTCTTTGTAATTTGATTTTTATCGTTTATCAAAGCATGCTCCTGTCGCTGATAAGAAGAGACCGGGAAGTCCTCTGTCGGTTCTCGAGGTTGAGGATCCGAAACAATGTGTTCTCGCGCATTTCATGACGCCACTAGAACCTCTGGACCCGCTAATGGAATCTCCAGTGTCTCGACCGTTAGTCTTACAACGCGACACCGCTGCGGAACTAGTCGCCGAGATAGCACCCTCTGCTTCGCAAAGTATTTTACTTACAAATATGGAGAAGAACGGTAAGTAAAATCAGATTACCTACATTTAAAGACAGCGAGATAACGACAACAAATACTTTTTAAGACCGTTTAGCTGAATTTTCGTGTGTTTCAGCGGACTTCCCGTTTATTACGTATTATCTAATAAATAAGCAGAGCACGGACCCTGTAGATTTTTACAACGAAGTGCAATGCGCGGCTCTACGTAAGTTCGATCCTCGAGATCTTAGATACGCTGCCAGTCACACGTTAGATCTGTTCAACGAGGTAGCGACCATCGCGAGACCGCCGCTCGAACCACCCGGTGGAAGACCACCTATTCCATCCACCGGTTATATAGTATCGATTTTTAAAGTTTTTGAAGGTGATGATGGCCTCAAATTTGAACAAAATTGGCTCTATTGGACAGGTAGGTGTTATGATTAAAATTGAAAATAATTTAAAACTAACCTGTGTGATGCGCGAAGTAGCAGAGTGTTGTAATAGAGACTGGTCTGTAAAATACATATATATTTAAATTAAAGTCTTATGCAATATAATAATTACTGTATAATTTTCAAACTCTCTAAATTCTTTGGAGTGAAAGTTTATTCTAAAGAGCAAAAATTGAGACAATTTTGAAAAATATAAAAGTGTATATAAAAATATAAAAAGGCCTCCCTACATGGTTAGTAATACTGAGTCAGTATTACTGATCAATATTACTGACAGTATGCATTAGTTTTTACAATCTTATACGATTAGGGCCCATATTCTGTACACGGCTATCGACAGTTGTCGGTGTCGTTAAGTAGCGATAGCCAATAAGAATCGCACTTTTCTCCTAGAACAGTCCTTACCATTGGCTATCGCTACTTAACGACACCGACAACTGTCGGTAGACGTGTACAGAATATGGGCCCAGGTATTATTGATAATATTTCACTTTATTTTGACGTGATTTGACGTATATTATTATCTATGGCGACATGGATCTTAAGGAAAAAGCATGTATTTAAATCCAAATCATTGTCAGTATTCTATGTCAATCCATTAATATTAACCACACACAATCAATAATATTGTCAATATTCGTTGATACTGACAGTATTACTGACTGCGTACAGAGGCCTTTAGAGAGAATCGAGAGAACCTCGGAGAGAACAAAAGCTTGCTAAATATTAATTTTTATAAAATTTTATAAATAAAAATTTATTTTTATTTTTTCCGATTATAAACATATTGAAACATTTGTATGTTTCCATCAATATTAAACCTCTTCTATGAATATTTTATAAAATATTTCAAATATTTATGTGATAATAATATAACGCGATATCGTGCAAACAATTTCATAAACAATATAAATAATAAGGTACTCACTTAAACTTAAAGTTAAATAAATAATAAGGTACTCACTTCATAGTTGTCCTACATTTGCTTCATGCTTCATCTGGTCTCATCCTCTTTCCATGTTGCTGCTCTTTTTTTATGTGGTACACACAATACCTACAATATACATTAATATTAATTGTTAGTATAATCATGCATGCAAAATCAGAATACAACGTGCGGTACTTTACACTGTACTCTCATTCAATCGCGACATTAATAGCACGCGACGTACACTTTATATTATCAAGAGATTAAATAGCTTATGTGGCAGAAGAACAATAACACAAAAAAGTCTACCGTGCGTGAAATATGATTTGCCGTACTTATAATTATCGAAGATGGTTAGATTGCGAGCAACTTGAACAACAGATTTCGATCGAATAAATCTCGCGAAATATACACTTTTGCTATTAACCTTCAATCGAGCGTCAAACTTACGTTAATGTGCAGTGGATGAATATCGAAACATGACGCCTGCATTTAGAAATTAAACGATGCTGCTTATCAGAGCTCACTCGAAGTTCATCCGCGGGCGTGAAGTTCCGTTAACAAAGATGGCCGCCAACTTTACGCGCGAAACGATAGAAATTGCATGCAATGGCAATAAGACGCGCGATAAATCGTTCGAAAATATTAAACGCGAATTTCAATGTCGCATGTGTAATATATTCTTTCGAATGCGTAAATCTTCCGCGAGATACACGTATTGTTGAATAAACGACCATTAGGGATATAGATATTACAATTTTTCGAGCTATTCGAGCACCTGTTCAGCGCGGACGGTCCGTGTATTACTCCGCACATTTAAACTGAACAAATTGTAGGCCTGTTCTTTTCAGCTGAACTCCTTGCATGATTTATCTTCTCTCTTTTTTCTTTAACGTAGAAGAAAAGGAAGATGAACTGTGGTCAGGAGTGCAACAAAAAGAACAGGTTTTGTGACTTTTGCAGTCAGGAGTGGGAAATAGAGCGATAGTCAATCAATTTACCGCTTTTCCATAAAAGCGAAGGGATGATTGGTCAATTTCGCGCGGCAAGCGTTCCCGCCACTTATGAATCACACGTAACTTTTTCTCTGAAGTAAAAACGTGAAAAATGAAATTGATAAATTGTTATGTATGTATATATGTACATCTATGGTGAAAAAATTTGCTGAAATTATTCCACGTTTTGGAACATTTCATAGAAATAATCTTTTCTTTCAAAAGTGCACATGTGTACTCGTTTCTTGTGATTCAGATCTGATAATCCTGGACGCGGATATAAATGTTAAGTTTAAGTTTAAATAATAACTTTCAGCATCGCCAATGAAATAATTGTCATCCGTGAACATCGCGACGAAATAGCAATTTGTACTTTCCGTTATCATACGACTTTAAATTGCTCTTTCTTGTGTATGTAAGTAAATTAATTACGCCGATTGCTTATCTTAAGAAACGATTGCCCGTGCCATCTCGAATAGCTCACGAGTCGTTAATCACAGTAATTGATCGATTGCGTGAACTCACAATAATTGATGATTCGTAGAGAATGATTGTGTCTAATTTCCGCAATCACTTATTTGCCGTTCCAAAAGTATAACAACACAACGAGAGGGAATGAACCATGCATCGCTATATCTGTTCGCTCGAGCCAAGCCCCGCAAATGATAACAAAGCGTGAACACCGCATGCTGTGTATATAGACACAAATCACGTCATGCTAAACAGTTGTACGAAATATTTTACATACGAAATGCGAATATCAGGGAACACAACAGTGTCTCAGTGCTAAGAGCACGAGCATTATAATAATGCAACGAGAGATAACTATCATTGCTATCCATCCGCACGAGCCATGCCGCACAAACAGTATATGTGTCGTGTTAAGTAAACAATTATACAAAATATCCTCTGCATACTCTAAAACTTTTAGAAAAGTTGTTTGTGAATCCCACTATGAAGAGTGAAATTTAGCGTACTTATAGATTGAAAAGTGAACCATTCTTTTATAAAATTAGCTCAATTATCATTCTTTAAAGTGAGATTCTACTTCAAAGAATTTAGGAAGTATAAAATGTTCACCGAATTCATTTCTCTTCCTTAAAATTGGAAAATTAATTTTGAGATTATTATATCGCACGTTTCGCATTTTACTTTAAAAAGTGTCGTTAATATACATATGTATGTATAATATAGTCTTATTTTGTAATAAATGTGTTCTTATCTTGTGAATTAGACGACACTAATGAATCCATAAAATAATAAGATAACTTGCTTATACAAACATATTATACTAAAAAAATATAATTATATATAACATATATGTTGATAAAGAAATTTGATAATAAAGAAGTAAATAGCTGAGTAATTATTTTATTTCAATAAGAATTATTAAATATGTTTAATACTTACTTAAAGAATAAAATTTTTCTTTATTTCCAGTTTTTCGCAAAAATATTTGTGTAAAAATAAAATTTTATCGTTATTTTTAAAATTTTGATATATTTTATAATTGTATGTGAAAAAAAAAACGAATTTAGTGAATAAATAATTGTAGTTTTAATAAGAAAATGTGATTTTAAAACGCTACGGCACAGAATGTAGTGTTTTAGTCTCATTAATTCAATTTATTAAAATTATATTTTTTCTTAGGATTAAAAGTATAACTTTAATCAATCTAAAGAATATCATGTTAAATATTAATATAAAGATTAATCTTATAATCATACACAAAATAAATATTTTATACAAAATCTATAAAATGTTTTATCTATACAAGTACAAATAATTACACAAATAAAGAAGCAAATTTATTATTCTATAGTGTATCAAGACATTATATTAGCATTTATCGTGTTGCAGGCGCGCGGATGATGTATCGATACTTGCCAAAAAGCGTGGGTCTCAGACGTATTACTTTGCACAAATCGATGTCACAAGGCGATAAGATGTATCTGTTGATCTGCGAGTGTTCGCAGCTACAAGACAATCTATCCGCTGCGGCAATACTTCTGCCGGCACTTCGTGCACGTCTGTGCGGATACACCGGACTTTACAGACCTTCCGTATGCTTTTGATTCCTCACCCAGCTGTTAGAGTCTGCGAGAAGCATCCTTTCGAATCGCGTTACGTATAACTCTGCAGAAAAATCCAAACGAAATGGTGTCGTATCAAATTTCAATGTTTTACTTCACGATTCTATTTTTAACTAAACAAATCCATACCAATTCTTTGAGTTAATAGTGAAACAATATCGACAAGCAATGGTATCGATCAGCATTTCTATTTTTAATCAGAATTAATTTTGATTGCAGGAACATGATTAATATTATAACGGAAGAGAAGACGCGATACTAATTTGCAGGAACTGATGATATATCGTCGCAAATATCGTTAACAAACGAGACACTGTGATTTCTTATCGTACTACCTATTATAAGGAGCGCAACTTCGTATACGCTTTAGACGAGTCTCGTCGATAATTGACGAGACGGCCTGCATGCTCGATTAGATATGCAACTGAACCTATTTGTATTTTTCGACTTTACTATCTCGTTCATTACGCAAGCGAGCATTGCCCAAGTAGGGTCACCGAACGAAACGAAAATGAAATGTATACAGAAGGAATAGTAATAAAATTAATAGGTTGCAGAAAGTATATTATAACATATATACGTAATATAAAATATAAAACGGGTGTCCGATCCATCTCATACAGATGAAACGCCAAGGACTCTCGACATTTAATTTCCTGAAAGAACATTCTATGTATTAACATGGAAAAGTTAATGATATACGCGTGTTGCCGATTATAGAGACGTTTGGTCATCCTACGGGCATCGCAATATACAAGCATAACGATATTCGCAACATACTTTTATTACTATTGATAACTATCGAATAATCGCTAATTACATATCATACTCGATAAACTGTGATATTTGAACCAGCAGCGTATATATCACAATGGAAAACTCCTCCTGAAAACCTATTCTTGAAAATGCTACTCTTGAAATCAATTTAGGTGACTTAGGCACAAGGTAGTGGAACTTCGAAGGCCAACGCGGTAGAACGTAATAACTTCAAGTCCTTTATCGATTATCTCAATATTTGATATTATATGTATATCCGTATACACGGATTTTATGCTCGCGAAATTCGATCGGCAGATGTTTCATGTGTGTGTGGATAAGTTACATTTAAAAAAATAGAAATTTGAATGAAATATATTTTTTATTTCTAATTGTTTTACTTTTCCCTTTTTTCCATTCTGTGTAAAATAAAAAAAATAAATCTTATTTCAAACAATAATTATATCACGTCTGAAGGGGAGCAGATAAATAAAATATACATATTATCTTATTTGAGAGAAGATTTAATAATCTTGTATGATTTAATAATATTTTCTTGACGTCTTAATTATTTTTTTAAAGGAACTTAAAAATGTACAATCGTATAAAAATAATTTTTATTTGAAATCATAGTTCAATTTAAGCTAAGCAATTCAAGAATTTGTACTTTATTCACATACAATATAAAGATTCTTTCCATATATACGGGAGAGAGATGAGAGTAAAACAAATATGCGCGGGAAAAGCTTACAAATCCCATTTTTAGGTGCCTATTTTAGAGAGTGAAAGAGTAGCGTGAGTTGGCATTGTAGTACAAAAAGAATTGTATAGCCAATATACGCTTGTTGCATACAGACAATAGATAAGGCAATTACGCAGGCGTGATTGTCATTGTAGATTTATACAATAAGAAATACAAGTAATAAAATACAAGACCTATATAATGGCGTACTTTATCATACGCTCGAACCGTATACTCGCTGAACACAAAGTGGAACAAAATGCTCTTAACGTAATAGAAAAAAAAAAGAGAAGTTAGAAAATTTCGCAATTTTACTGTGATCATACGCGTATCATGTTCGATACACGCATCCATGTGTGCGATTCAACACGACAAACAAGTGCAATATTATAAAATATGACAAATGCTACAATGAGCCAATATTGTCCAGTCTATATGTATAAATCATGGAAAAGAAAAACAGTACATTATAATTCAAATGCGTCAATAAAATATTTGATCAATTGCATAATTCTCTTTTCTCATCATTATACAATTATACTGAAACATAAATTCCGATTATACATGGTATTTTGCACATATGTAGGGAAATTTTAATTATTTTTAAAAACGCTGGACATCGTAACTCTTTCAGTAACCAATTAAATACAAGAGCTTTAACAGATAATTTAAGTTAGAATTTGAATTTTAATAATTTACATTTATTATTAAAAATAATTTTATTAATTTTTATTATACTATATCAAATTTTGTATTTATCATTACAAAACTCAAAAAAATTAATATAGAATGTTTTTCCACAAAATTAATAAAACATATTTTTAATTTGTGATACTGAAGAAAAAGAAGTACTGAAAGAGTTAAAATATGACCGTTTTTGTTCTTCGAGAAGAAAAACTTTTGCCTACACACAAAAAGAACTTTTGCTCTATATAGAGGAGTACACCTCCTCAAAGTAACAAGCATACGAAGCTTCATATTTCTCAATTAGGCCTGGCAACAGATTATCAAGGGAGTAAGAATATCTCTGGATATCAGGATACGTAAATAAATGTGATGAATTGTATGATACATTGTTACTTCGCAAGTATAATAGATTTATTAAATCGTGTACAACGAATAACAATAAACTACTTCTAACATTAAACGTTATATATATAGGTGATTTTTCCCTTCCTTATCAATAAAACATAAAACATATACGATTATAGCTTCTTAAGTTCTTTTTGTATTTAATATATATACATTTGACATTTATTCACAAAATATCTGATAGAAAAAGGATATAATTTTCTATTAAAACATAAATTATATAATTATATAATTATATTATATACATATATTCATTTTGATACTTAATATCCTTTAGGACCTCTAAACCGCCGTTTACCATCAATCTGTGAGAAAGTAAAAAGTAAAGCTACATACATTATATACGACATACATATTCCATATAAGACTTCTCCAAAGAACAGGAATACATCTTCTTTCCTGATATTAGAATGATATTCCTGATATTGAATATTTAGAAATTATGCAAATCCGTTTATACTTACTATAGAATGTTTACAGTCAAAGAATGTTCTATGTAAAGCAAAACATTCATCAGGAACTGTACCATCGTACGATCTAAGACAATCTTTGGGGGTACGTTTGTACTGTCAAAGAAAATAATGTTTTGTTAAACAATAGGGAGGACAATGTGTTATGTTTTTAATATATACGTCAGACTAGTTTAAAAACCGGAAGCTTTGAGTATGATCAAATCCATATAAAGATAATTATCGATATTATTAAAAAATATATATAAATGACAACAACAAAAATAGAAAGAATAAAGAGATAAAATTTTAGAGAATTATTTTTACAGATTCTATGCACAAATAATTTTTTTGAGAATATAATACTCCAGACTAAAAAATTTGGAAATCGAAATTGACAACTTTAGATATGATTGAATCTATATTGATAGATCTAATTAATCGATTAAAAATATAAAAAATTAAGACAAAAATGGAGAGAATAAAAAACAAGATGTATTATTGTCGTAAAACTACTCATACATAAAAAAATTAAGTTGTAGCGGCATTATAGGTTATGGCAGTTTCGTGTTCACTTACGATTTTACAACAATCGCTTTGAAGCAAACACATTTTGAGATCCGCGCGAATGTTCGCGCATCGGGATTTATCTTTCAACGTTTCACCCTCTTCCTCATATCGCATCATCTTGAATAATACTTGATTTCCACGATTGCCGAAAACACATTGCTCAGACGCTCATTCTCATATCCCATCCGCTTTGATTTGCTTATGCCTCCTACAGCCTACAGCCACAACCTCAATGCAATATGTCTAACCTAACCTAACTCGATTCTCGAATCGGTACACAATACACAACACAAGTTTCTTGCAGCTTGTCAGCTTGCTTGCCTCGTAAGTAAATATACGTCCCCATCTGTCATCTGTAACAGCATACTTCTTGAACATCATATGCATACGTGAATAAACGTTAAAAGGGTGAACTTATTCCAAGCATGATCACATTATGCCGCAAAAATTAATGAATTCGACGTTCGAGGAACAAAAAAGTGTTAGGTAATTTTTAAGGTTATGATTATCTGATTATAATTTTGTCACATTTTATTATTTATATAAACTTCTTGCAACATGAACATAAGTAACATTACATACAATAAATTTGTAAATAACATCAATTGCAATTAAATAGTGCTTATAGAAAACATGTTTTTTTTTACAATGTAGAAAATAAATTAATACCATAAAAATGGAAATTTTTTTTAAATTAAGAATTATTAAAACATACTTTTTAATAATAAAATAAACTCTCAGACAGACGATCCATCTGCGTGGAAGAGAAAGTTCCCCACATTATGTATTTTTACATTCTGATGACGAAGATAGCGCAGATGAGGATATTATTTCTTTGCAAACTATTAAACGACCTACATCGTTACGTCGAAAAATTCAGGTGATCAATGTACAAGTAAAACCTGAAGATACTCTACAGGCATTAGCTCTTCGATACAGATGTACAGTGAGTAGAAAAACATAATACGTGGCATAAAGATATTTTTTATTTGAACATCACTTATATTTCTTTTCTATGTTGAAGAGAAAAATAAACTGTGTAAGAAGTTTAAATAAAAAGAACAAATCTCATATTTTTGTTTTCTTTTATTCATATAATATATATTTGCATAATTTTAGATGTACAGTAGTAAGAAATTGTGTACATATACGTGACATAAAGATATGTAATTATATCCTTAATGCTTTTATTCATAATATGCATCGCAAAATTTTAGATATCTGAACTAAAAAGAATTAATAAAATCGACAAAGAGAATGAAATATACGCTAAGCCTTATATTAAGGTTCCTGTACAACCATTTTCTATTTTAACTGAGACGTCGTATGAAAGTCAAGGCAATAATGCTATTATCACATCTGAGCAATGCCAAGAAGAAGCACCTGCGACAACGAATGAACAATTGATATATTTAAACACCACATCGACAAGCACGGAGTCCTCAAACACGGAAATTAATACAATCATACTGAATTCAGTATGTGAACCGTTATCATCTTACAACAGTGCCAATGCGCCTGAAATTTTTCACACGGAACACGATGCGTTACTTGAAGATGTTGAGAATACAGGAACAGCTGAATCCTGTGAAACAAATATGTTCAAATGTTCGGGCGATAATTGGGGATTGTCCTGGACACAATTGTTGGTATTTTCGTTACTATTAAGTTTTGCAGGACCTATTATATACATACTTTATATAGCGGAATATTCAACTAAAACAAATATAACTGTAAATAATTGATATTTCGTGTAAAGTAATATATAAGGATAGTCATAGGATAAGAATTTATACTTTGCAAATAGACATACCTACATAATTTTTAAATTGAATAAAAAACTGAATTTTTATGATTTTCTAATCATAAATGTAATTATTCTTTTACATATTATATAGATTTTAAAAAAACAATTTGCCAGCGTTTTGTTAGCAATTGAAACTACACAATTTGTACAGTTATATATTTAAATCTCTATATCGAAAATATATATATTTTCTTATCCTATTTTTACATCATAACAGTTTGTTCAAAGTTTTAGAACTGTTTTTTGTATTGAGTGAGATCTTTTTATAGTTATAACTACTATTAATGCAATTGGTAAATTCTAATATTAAATAATAAGATGTATTAAAATTATAACATTTTTTATGCAAAGAAGTTATTAAGTTACTAAGTAACTAAGTTACTATACCAAACATAATTGTGATAAATTTGTGACAAAATTAATTTAATAAAAATAATTGAAATCAATAGAAAATAGTATAAAAAATATTGAATACATAAAAAATATTTAGATAAATATTGGTGCCTTTATAACTCGAACTCTCTATTGTTGATCTGTAAAATTTTAATATAATACTACAAAATAAATCTGTCATACTTTTGTGACTGGAAATATTTAAATTATTGAATATTGTAGATTAATTCAACAATATTAATAGCCACATATCACACAATTATATGAAATTAATTTTTACGTAACAAACTATTATCTTTATTATAAACTTTGACATATTATTATTAAATATATATCTTTTTTTTTTTTTAAATTAAATATTTTTATAATTTATCATACAATATGTACATGCCAAAATACTTGTAATTATTTTTATATATGTTAATACTTCTTGTTACAAAATGCTGAAATATATTTTTTAAAACTGTTACGTTGTTATTTATTAATTCCTCATTTTATCATATGCAATATGTTAAGTGATTAAAAAAATTTTTTTTATTATTGATTTCCTATAATTGAAAATATATTAGAATATATTAGAAATACAAATTCTTCATTAAATATGCAAATTATTTTATTAAAAAATACTCATTCATATATCTATTGAAGGAATAATATATGAAAAGGAGAGTATACATATATGCTATCCATTTCATTATTTTTATAGAAATTTTATTTTTGTCATTTTGCCAGATTTCGAATATGAGAATCATAATACAGAATTGTGTAATCACATTTGGTCGCTTTGCAATTTTTCTTTACCTCATTCTTGAAATCTGCCAAAAATGTTCTGTAACGAAAATAAAAATATATGATAAATATAAATTTTGCACAATCTCTCGTATATATTAAAGTTCATTTTAAGACTGATATTTCATGTGTCATACGATAAGACTTTAAGGCTATTGATTAGCTACAAAACAGAAAGGTTCTCGGATCTTTCTGTTCTACAGTCAATCAACAGACTCGAAATCTTTCTCGTACTGACACATGAAATATTAAATATGCAAAAATATTCAGAAAGTATAGATAATATTCTTCAATATATCTTCAGAAGACCGTCGTGTTTTCATCATTTGAGTTAAATTTCAATAGAATTCAATTTATTAAATAAATAGTAATACAAATAATGGACATTATACAAACCATTATTAAGATAGATGTTTAAAACTTCTTGAAACTTTTCTTTGATCCTGTTCCTTTCGAAACCTTCAATACGTTAAATCTTACTGTCTTGCTCAAAGGTCTGCATTCTCCAATGGTGACTACATCGCCGATTTCTACATCTCTGAAATATAACATAAAATTCGTGAATATCAATGATAAATTGCAGATTCTTTTTTAAAAATTATTTTATAATTTCAGATACATAATGATCATCAAAACATCTCAGTAGACCATCGTGATATAAATTATCATCACAAAAGCAGAAATTAAAAAATTTAATTCTATTTTTTAAATTTAAATTTTACTTATAATTTTGCTTCAAGAATAAAATTATTTTCTTGTCTATGTACCTGAAACAAGGACTGAGATGGACACTCATATTGCGATGACGCTTCTCGAATCGATTGTACTTCCTAATATAATGCAAATAATCCCTGCGAATAACTATAGTTCGTTGCATCTTCATCTTTTGTACAACGCCAGTAAGAATACGTCCTCTAATCGACACATTGCCAGTAAATGGACATTTCTTATCGATATAGGTTCCCTCAAGAGCCTGCAAAGATTAAACCAGCAAAATACACATATAAGGTATTTTATATATTCTTTACCAATAAGAAATAAATGTAAAAACATTCAGAGAATATAGACTCTTCAAAGTATCTTCAGAAGACCATCGTGATATTTATTATCATCATTTAATTTTGATCATATCTATAATAACAGTAATATAACAAAAATGCTCTACAATAACAGCAATGTAATAAACATAATTATAGAATTATACTAAACAATCTAGTAATTAACTTTAATAAATTATGTTTCTAATTGAATATACCATATTTTAACCCAAATGTATTATATCCTATTTGAATAATATTCAGAATAGATTGGTTTTTATAGCTGAATTAGTATACATTTTTGAAATTTAGTGTAAAACAGATGTTTGATATTCAGTGAAAACGAAAAAGAAAGTTCTAATAGAACCTAGCAGAGAAATAAAAACAAATTAAATCTTTGTATGTTCAACTATTTTCATTTCGTATATGAAGTAAGTTTCTTAATTCATCGATCAATTACTTTATGCGTAAATGCAATTTTATTCCATGAAAGCTACATTTACAATTGATTATTCGATAAATTAAAAAACTTATACTCGCTGAGTGAGGCTGCTTTCCTTTTATGAGACACAAACTTTGAAACATTGTTCTAGTCTTCTTGACATTAATGAATAATAAAGATAAAGCAGTATTGAATGTGTCTCCTAAAAGGAAAGCAACCTTAATCGATATGCTTCTTATACATAAATGTGAAATAAACTAATAATACATGAAACATCTATTTCAATATTATCGACCAAAATCATCATATCAAAGCAATGAACATCAGAGAGCGTGGCAGATTTGTACTTACTTCACGAGGCGTTTTGAAACCGAGCCCGACATTGCGGCTGTATCTCATAGGCTTCCTGCGCTTCGGGCCCAGACCTTTCTTACGGTTAAGAAAGATAGTGGGCTGTTTCTGGAACGCGCGTTCGCTCTATAACAAACGAAAGCGTGTGGATTACGTGTCATTTCTACTTCTTTGAGTCTGGATTTTTATGCATGTGGCCGACTTAACCACGTGCTACGCCGACAAGCTTTAACCACTCGAACGCGCCTCAATCTACGATCTTATTTGATAAATTACTTTTATCAACTAATGTTAATCATAATGAGAGCAAGTTTTCACAAAGTAACATTGTGACGTAAACGAGAAAATCTATTTATTTACTATCGCGGAATCAAGCACGTACCTGATCAGCCATCTTATTAGTCTGAAAGGTCTGAAAGAGCGACGAAAACCGGAAGAGTGAGCAAACTTTACAAGTACAGTGTAGCCAATATAATAGCGTTTTCGGCCCGAGTTTGTACCGTTTGTACCAACTTGAGTAGGAAAATATTTTGCTATTGGTGGACTTTTTACGCTCTACCAATAAGAGAATACAAAACGTCATAAGCAATAGCTAATAAGAACCGCACTTTTCTCCTAGAACAATCCTTGCCATTGGCTATCGCTACTTAACGATGACAAATGTAGGCTGCGGTCCACTTATGCCCATTTCCACCAATGCAGATTAGGGCCTCTTTCACCAACGCCGATAAACTTAATCGACGATTAGTCCATTGGAATTGACCAATCGCATTTATCATTTAGTTTTGACGACAGACGCGATTGGTCAATTCCAATGGACTAATCGTTGATTAAGTTAATCGGCGTTGGTGAAAGAGACCCTTAATCTTGGTTCAATTTGCTCTTCATCTTTTTCTAATTTTAGTAAGTTAAATCGAGATTAAAGTTAATCTACATTGGTGGAAACGGGCATTAGTGCTTCAAACGCTACAGAGCATTTGTAGCACTGATATGACTGGTTCATTTGACGCTTCAAAACGCTCCCAGCAACTCTGATACGTCATTTATACGTCATAGTTTTCGCTCCAACTGCCTCACCTGTCACCTCGGAAGGTGGGTTGGCTGGAGCGTTCACGTAGTAATTGTAGCATTCGGAACAGTAATGGACCAATCCAAGCATGGCGTTTGGAGCGTAGCATTGAAAGTATTTGGAAGAAGCAAGTAGACCGCAGCCGTAATGCCAGCTGCACACCAGCGCGATGTTCGTCGCGCGCGACACGCGATATCCAATGAGCGTCTAGCTTTAGAATGAGAACATCGGTAAAGCTGTACGCTTATTGGATATCGCGCGTCGCGCGCGACGAACATCGAGGTGTGCAGCTGGCATAATGCTTAGTTCACACCAGGGAATGGAAAGTTACTTTTTAAAAGTAACTAGTTACAGTTACTCGTTACCGAGTAAAAAATGTAACTAGTTACAGTTACAGTTATCGCTTTTTAAAAGTAACTCGTTACAGTTACCGTTACTTGAAAAATAACTTTTCGTTACTTTTCCGTTACTTTTTTAAAATCAATTTAAAAATGTACTTTTGCATTTTTTTTTTATATGTAATACTGACAAATATATAGTTTTTTTAAAAAAAAAAAAAACAATGTAGAATGGCTCAAATAATAAATTAAATAAAAGTAAAATGAGAAGGGTTACGAGCCAAAAATGAAACAGTTTATTTCCGATAAGAACGACGATGACAATGTAATTAAATGTATAAATATATATTAGAACAATACATAGATAAAACAAGATAAAAACAAACGACGTTTCGACACTTATTGTCATCGTCTTTTAAACTGTTTCGCTTTTGGGTTCATAGCCCTTCTCATTTTACTATTATTTAATTTATTTTTTAATTTTTTTTAAACACAATTTTGTAATTCTAAAACCTGTAAAATATGCAGCAAATTGAAATATTTGTATGTCCTATGTATTACATAGAAGATAGAAGTGTAAAATAATTACTGAATCATAACGGCCGAATGTCTAAGGGCTTTCCAGTCTTATTGATAAGCGCTATAAATAGCATGTATCCAATCGAACCGTGTTCAATCGTGTGCAAAGTAACGACAAAAGTAACTGTAAATTTCGTTACCGTTACCCAAAAAATGTAACTCGTTACCGTTACAGTTACCAAAAAGAGAAAGTAACGCAGTTACCAGTAAAGTTACCAAAAAAGTAACTTGTAACTGTAACTTCGTTACAAGTAACGAGTTACTTCCATTCCCTGGTTCACACTAGGCGCGATGAGCGATGCGCGACGAGCGATAAGGGGTTACATGGGTCTTGATATTTCAAAAAATTCATTTTTTTGATAATTTTTTATATAAAAGTACAAAATGTCAGGAATATGTTCCCAAAGGTTCAAGTCGATCGAAATTAAAATGAGAGAGTTAACAGCCCGTCGTCTTTGTCATGGCTCAACCGGCAGCGGTAGGCAAGACGGCGTCGAGCGTCGCAGGTATACGGGCAGTTGCTCTATTGTTTACATTCGGTTTTACTTACCTGGAAAGGTCGAATTGCTTACATGCGTTTGAATTTCGTACGTTGGTTTAGTTTCGTATCGCTTGTTGAGCCGTGTGGTCATACTTTTGCTCTGCGATTTGTGTGCATGTTTTCGGTAAAATGAAGAAAGAAGCATGCAAACGAGTTTCAATCGAAAAGACAGGCCAGTAAAAAGAAAAAATGTTTTTAATCCGAAAGCACCCGAGAAAAATGATGCATCATTCTCGAGTACTATACATCGGCGAAAAAACTGAAAAATCAAAAGGAAATTGAAGTACCAGAAAACTGTAATATTCAGTACGCAATTATAGATTTTTGTTTAGTGTTTTCAACTCTGGCTAATTTCGTAAAGTGCTCTAACGTTGTGAATGAAGACGGAAACGAAATACTGTGTAATGGAAAAGTAGAATTTCAACAGTGCTCAAAATTAGGCCTGGGTTTTAAAATTATGGTGAAATGTGAAAAATGCAATCCTAAGTACATTTCATCCAGTGACAAAATTGGTCAAGCATATACGATAAATCGCAGATTTATATTTGTGATGCGAGTGTTGGGTTTAGGTTTAGCCGGTTGCAATAAGTTTTGTGGCTTGATGGACATATGTTCTTCTTTCCTAAATCAATCATCGTACGATTTCTATATAACTAAAATACATGAGTGCATAAGTACGGTAGGTGAGAAACTTTTATCCTTAGCTGCCGAAGAAGAAAAAAATATATCGTGCGCTGAAAACAATATTGAAAATACGACAAATGCTACTGTCTCAGGCGATGGCACTTGGAAACGACGTGGATTTGCATCATTGTATGGCGTGGCAACTTTAATTGGATATTATTCTGGAAAAGTTTTAGATTTATTTGTGAAAAGTTCTTATTGCAAATCATGCGAGACCTGGAAGAGAAAACTAAATACAGCAGAGTATGAAGATTGGTATAATGATCATATAGAAAACGATGAATGTATGGCCAATCATCAAGGAGCAGCTGGTAACATGGAAGTGACATCAATTGTTGAAATGTTTAAACGCTCGTTTGAAAAACATGGTTTACGGTATAGTAATTACATTGGAGACGGCGACTCCAAGACATATTCCGTAGTTTTAAATGCTAAACCTTATGGCGAAAATTTCGAAATAAATAAGAAAGAATGTGTAGGGCACGTTCAAAAAAGAATGGGCAAGAATTTACGCGAGTTAGTGAATAAAACTGTAGAAGAAAAAGTAGTAAAAGGAAAAACGATTAGAAGAAAAATTCTTTCGGGCGAAGGCAAACTTTCAGGACCAGTAATCGATAAACTGACGGTTTACTACGGTCTAGCTATCAGAAGGCACAGTAATTCAATACAAGACATGAAGAATGCTATATGGGCGACTTACTACCATTATAGCTCAACGGACGAACACCCACAGCATGATAAGTGCCCGAGCGGCATTGACTCTTGGTGCGTTTGGCAGAGTGCTTCGGCTGCAGATACGCTATCGTCATTCAAGCACGACAAGCTTCTATTATCGAAAGACATTTTAGCTGCAATCAAGCCAATTTACGAAAATCTCAGCGAGGATGTACTTTTAGAGCGTTGTCTCGGCGGCTTTACCCAAAATAATAACGAAAGCCTAAACCAGTTAATTTGGAAAATCTCGCCAAAAGTACTTCCGGCTGGTTCCAAGATCGCAGAAATAGCTGCATATATCGCTGCCTGCATCTTTAACGAAGGAACATCACTACATCAGCTCTTCTAACATTTCTACATGCTATGGATGTGAAACTTGGACAAAACTGCCATGAATTTGCAAGAAAGCAAGACGACCAACGCATAATTGCAGCTGAAAAAAAAGCACAAGCTACGACGCGGGAAGCAAGAATTCGACTTCGGCAACAGCAAAAAAAAGAATTTGACGACGCAGCTGCAGAAGGAGTTTTACTATATGGTCCTGGAATTGATGATTCCATGTAAGTTGAAATAAAAAATTGTTATCTCTGTTTTATTCCTCTTTTAAAACTTTAAACGCGTTTTTCTCAAAACCACTTTTTCAACATCGGTAGTCAAAATTTCTCCAAAACTATTGCACCGATTGACTTGCACTTTTACACACTTCTTTTAAACATGTTTTTGTAGTCCCTGATCGAAGGATTTATTTTACCTTCGATTACAACTCATTTTACAAGCCAATACATAGCCTAATTTTATGCAAAAAATGACACTTTTTGTAGAAAACGCTACAAAAAATTCATTTTTCAACTTTTTCCTTTTTTCATCGATCAGGGACAATAAATACTCATCTACTTTAAGAAAAAATTTTGATTTTTGATTTCAGATGAAAATTGACAAAGTTATGCTGACTACCGCGAGGGCACTTTTTTATTGACAGTCTACTTCAAAATGTTGCCAACGCCTTAATTTTCAATATTTTTCATTGTAGTTTTCACCAAATATTGTTCACATGTTGTACTTTACATACAAAAAAAAAAGAAATTGTCTTCTTCATTTAGTATCTTTTAAAAAAATTAGACAAAATAAGCTTTTTTTTGGCCTTCAAGACCCATGTAACCCCTTTGCTGCCTTGAATGCGAATAGAGAAGAAGAAGAAGAAGGAGTAGAATACCTATAATAGAGAGACAGGAGGAGTAGAGTACCTATAGTACTCTATTATAGGTACTCTAAGGAGAAGAAAAGGAGGAGACGTTTCTTAATTGTTCATTAAAATCACTACTTTTCGACCGCTTGTATCTCCAGAACGGCTTGACCAATTAAAAATTTGTTTGGCTCAATGCCGCCTTTCAGGACATACAATGTTTGATTCAAAATTTTTTATATTTTAGTTATGCACCCTCCAAAAATGAACTTTGGTGGCTCGGAATAAGAGACTTGTCCTTCAGTTTTTGAACATGGCCGGAGACACTACCGCGTCTCCTGATTCACGC